TTGTGATCTCTGGGTCATGAGATCAAGCCCTGTCTGGCTCTGCACTCAGCAGGGTGTCTGCTTAAGAGTCTCTCTCTACGGGGCGCCTGGGTGGCTCAGTGGGTTAAGCATCTGACTTCAGCTCAGGTCAAGACCTCAGGGTCTTAGGACTGAGCCCAACATCCAGCTCATCACGTAGTGGGAAGTCTGCTTGTCCTCTGCCCCTCCCCTACTCATTATCTCTCTCTCTAATAAAATCCTAAAAAAAAAAAAAAAGGATTCTCCCTCTCCCTCTGCCCCCTCCAATCTTGTGCTGTCTCTCTAAAATAAATAGATCTTTTTAGGGGCGCCTGGGTGGCTCAGTGGATTAAAGCCTCTGCCTTCGGCTCAGGTCATGATCCCAGGGTCCTGGGATCGAGCCCTGCATCAGGCTCTCTGCTCAGCAGAGAGTCTGCTTCCTCCTATCTCTCTCTGCCTGCTTCTCTGCCTACTTGTGATCTCTGTCAAATAAATAAATAAAATCTTTAAAAAAAAAATAGATCTTTTTAAAAAATTAAAAATTAAAAAATGCATAACAGTGGGGTGCCTGGGTGGCTCAGCTGGTTAAGCGTCTGACTCTTGATTTCAGGTCAGGTCATGGTCTCAGGGTCCTGAGATTAAGCCCCGCATCAGGCCCTGTGCTTAGCAGGGAGGCTGCATCAGGATTCTCTCCCTCTGCCCCTCCCTCTGCTTGCTGGAGCACTCTCTCATTCTAAAATAAAGAAGTAAATATTTATTTTTTTAAGGATTTTATTTATTTGACACAGAGACACAGCAAGAGAGGGAAGACAAGCAGGGGGAGTGAAGAGGGAGAAGGAGGCTTCCTGCTGAGCAGGGAGCCGGATGTGGGGCTCAATCCCAGGACCCTGGGATCACGACCTGAGCCGAAGGCAGACACTTAACAACTGAGTCACCCAGACGCCCCAAGAAGTAAATCTTTAAAAAAAGAGAGAAAGAAATAAAATGTAGAACAGTCTGCATTTAAGGTAGAGAAAGAAATGTAGTTACTCGTATTGAGAAAAAAATGGAAGGATATCATTGACTGACTAAAATTCTAACCCACAGAAAAAAGAAAGTAGCAGGCTGGAGGAACAGAAATGAAAGGCTTTTTTTTCTAGGAATATACCTGGTTTACATTTTCAACCTCAGGACCATGCAAATGTTTCAGAACACTATAAAACAGGATCAATTCAAAAACAAGAAAAAAAAGCAATCCCTAAAAATTAAAAACAACTATACCTAACTATATGTCAAACTGGTGACAAAACCACGCAGAGAATTATTTCAAGTGATTTTAAAACACGGCCATTTGATCACACATCTGCTGCAGGATACATCCTAAGGACAAAAAGAACCACAATGAAATATTAAACTATTTATATTAATCATATTACTACTGTTATTTTGAACATATACACAGTTGTACTGGTGGCATTAGGAACTACAACTTTTTTTTTTTTAAGATTTTATTTTTATTTATTTGAGAGAGAGTGAGAGAATGAGAGACAGCATGAGAGGGAGAAGGTCAGAGAGAGAAGTAGGCTCCCCATGGAGCTGGGAGCCCGATGTGGGACTTGATCCCAGGACTCCAGGATCATGACCTGAGCTAAAGGCAGTTGCTTAACCAACTGAGCCACCCAGGCACCCCGACTTTTTTTTAACAGATGTTATTTTTTATCTCCACACCCAACATAGGACTCAAACTCACAACCCCAAGATCAAGAGTCACACACTCCACCCACCAAGCCAGCCAGGTGCCCCAGGAACTAAGATTTTCAGCGTATGTATAACTCACAAATTAAATTATAAAAAGAAATAAAGAAATAATCTCACAATCTTAAATTAGGCCTGGAAATACCAAGGTGAATTCATGATATACTTCTCTCTTCCTGGTTTTCACCAAAATGTCTAGAAGTAATGACAACCCAGCGCAATTGGTACTCCAGACACCAACCTGTGGTTTTAACCTTCCCATATCATTTTCCACTAAAAGAAACCATGTTTTTTAGAGAGACAGCCAATTCCAGGCCCTAACAAAACATGTAAGTGATGAGCTCTGGGCATCTTTTAGGCCAGAAAGCAAGGAAGCAATTAAGACATCTGGGTCATGTCAAAAAGACACACACCAAACTTAATTAGGCTCCCAGTAGCCACCGATGGGATAATTCGAGCATAAGAAAAACAGTATGTGCAATGGATTAAAATACAAGTGTTAAAAATTCAAGAGTTCATAATGAAGAGGATCTGAGACCTCTAAAAGCTGCAGGGACCCCAACTCATTTTCTGAACCCTGACAAAGGAAATGAATCAACCATTCATCCTGTCTTTCCTGCCTGAATTCTATTTCAAGGTATCGCAGTAGTGTTGACAGGAAGTTTATAGAATAATTGATGTTAATATAGGAGGAAATTTTAAAATTAGAAAATAACCATTTTGTGACCCCAATGAAATAATGCCTCTAAGCAATAATTATAAAAGGCTGCAAAGATCACTAGGTGAAAGACTGATGGGCAGCCCCATAATGCCTAAGTCAGGATGGACCAAGAAATCACTGATCAAGCTTAACATTTCTGAAAGAAAACTCGACAGCCCATCCTCCCGACCGGAGTCAACAGCGAATACCCCGACCAGGTATTTTCAATTTAGAAAATTATATCTGAATCTAATTAACTCTCTAGATCTAATTGCCAGCTCACAGGAAATACTGGGATAGAGAAGCATGCTAAATATCACCAGGAGGATCTGGTGGGAAATGTCTAAAGGACAAATGACCCATTTTCCTCAACAAATATATCACAAGGGAAAATGGAGGGGAAGGAGAAACCGTTTCGTATTTTAAAAACACCTAAGAGATATATCCACAAAATAGAGTGTTGTATCTTTTGGGGATCCTGATTTGAAGCAGCATTAAGAGGCCATTTTTGAGACAACTTGGGAAATATGAACACTGATTGGAAACCAGATGATATTAAAGAATTACAGTTAATTTCATCAAGTGATAATATTCAAATTTTTTAAAAAATACAGTGCTGCATAAAAAGCTCTCCTACAAACATTATACTGCCATTGACTACCCGAACATGTCCGATAAATACTGGTTAAGATAAATGACAAGGGTGACACTCCCCTGTAAACTTCCCATTTCACCCTCCCCAAATAAAGGATAAACCCCTGACCTGTTACTCAACTCACTACCCTCCCTCACCACCAGACCCAACCACATTTCCCAAAAGGATTCCCCTTTATGCCTCTGTATTTTCAAACAAACTGGGCTATTAGTAATTTTCTGCATAGGTCACACAGTTTTCTTCCTGCATCTCTTTGCAGGAACTGGAATCTCCTTCCACTATCTCCATCAGTCCAAATCCTACCTTCATGAAGACCCATCGCCAAAGTTATCTCCTAAATAAACCTTCTTTGAACCTCCTCTCAGAAGTCAGTATTCCTGTAGTTCACCTGTGACATCTGTAACATCTGACCTTTTCTGTTACTTTTTAAAAATAAACATTGATGTAGGGAAGAAGTTAGGGTTCGAAGATGAGGGCCAAGAAAGAATTCATGAGACTCCTTGGTGCAAAAAGCTAGTTTTATTAAAGCAAGAGGACAGGACCCTTGGGCAGAAAGAGCTGCACTGGGGTCACAATGAGTGGCCCACTATATACTTTCAAGCTGGGAGAGGGTTAGGGATAGCCTGAGTCACTAACGAATTTTGGAAGCAAGGGTTCCAGGGCCTTTTGACCTTAGCAAAGTATAAACATTGAGGCAGCGGAGTTCCTAGAGGAAGAGCACTCTACTTATTTTAACTTGTCAATGGGCTGTAGGTAGTAAGAAAATTTAATAATGTTTCTCCTGCCTTTGTTTCCCACATCACCTATTACTGGTCTGTATATTCAGCAACCATTTGTTGAACACCTACTATATTCTAAACTTATGCTCAGATCAAAGTATGTTACAATGTTAGACACTATCCCTGACCACATGGAGGTTACAGTCTAGTAAAAGACAGCCAAAACTTATACTAGTTATATAAGAAATTACTCAAAATTATGAACAGCATTACCAAAAAAGAAGTGAAGGAACCATGAGAGGATATAAAAGAGGTATGAGACACAATTGGACTCTGCCACGTAAGTGCATGATCTGGGATTAATTACTTTTTTTTTTTTTAAGATTTTATTTATTTATTTGACAGAGAGACAGAGAGATCACAAGTAGGCAGAGAGGCAGGCAGAGAAAGAGGGGGAAGCAGGCTCCCTGCTGAGCAGAGAACCCAATGCGGGGCTTGATCCCAGGACCCTGAGATCATGACCTGAGCTGAAGGCAGAGGCTCAACCCACTGAGCTACCCAGGCACCCAAGGATTAATTACTTCAAATGACAATCCCCTATCGCAATCTTTAATAATGCAGATGGCCTGGGAATGTTTAATGCTAAATAGAATATAGAATGCCATCACCTGGGGACCCTCAATAAACAGTTCTGATTCCCAGATTCTGTGCCCCTCTGGAGAAAAACTGCGTTCGATTAGGCTTTGGATCCTAATCCCTAGCTCTAGGTCGGCAAAAAGCTATGAACCCACTAAGAAGGTCAGAAATAAGTAAAACGGGAAAGGAAGAAAGATGTAATAAGAACACCCAGCATTTGCATCAGAAATCTCCTTGAGATGTGGAGTACTATTATCTCCGTTTCACAGGTGAAGTAACTGAGGCTCAAAGCAAGAATGGGGTCCAAGAGCATGACAACATCGAAGCCCCAGCCCCAGGGCCTCTCCTCCGTCTCTCTTTCTCCGTCTGTTGCTGTGCAACCCAAAGCCGAAGCCAGGACGGGGCCAGGAGGCTTCCCTTCCCAGAAGTCCTCGCAGCGCCGCGGAGAACTCTGGGATAGAGGTGGATAAACAAATCCAAGGAAAGGGCCCAGGCCTAGGACTGAGAAACTCCGCTCTATGCCCGCCAAGTGCCTTCTTCATCCCTTCTGTATGCTTACCTTTCCTGGCGCTGCCGCTATTGGGAGCCTCACCAATGCCAGCAAAGGCTGGGAACAGCGCCATGATTACAGGCCGCACTGCCGTTCCCCTCTACAGAAATGGCGCCGGAGAGCGGACGCCGATAGTGAGGCCTTCGCGCTCGCGGTGCATTCTGGGAAGTGTGTTTTTTTTTTTTTTTTATTTTTTTTTTTTCCAATTCGTCCTTGGCCCGGGACGGGGCGGGGCGGGGCGGAGCCACTTCCCTGAAATTGACACCTGAAGACATCTGTGAGAACCGGGAAAATGCAGAGACCCCGAAGTAGAATCGTTCGAAGCTGAAAGTAGCAGAAGCTGGATCCTAGTTCGACCCCTGAACTCACACTATCACTATTGGGGTTAAAGTAATCAGACTCTGTAAGCTTGTTTCCTCTTCTGCAAAATGTTCATAAGATTAAGTGAGCATTGTAAGTTAAGGTACTTAGCTGTGATTGTGCCTGGACCACGAGAAGCACTTGATAAGTTAGCTATTATATGAGTTGTGACTGCAGATCCATCTCAAACCCATGTGAGATGACCGAATTCACGTTACCACCCGGCGCCTGGGTGCTTCAATGGGTTAAGCCTTTGCCTTCAGCTCAGGACATGACCCCAGGACCCTGGGATGGTGCCCAACTCGGGCTCCCTGCTCAGCGGGGAGCCTGCTTCTCCCTCTCCCTCTCCCGCTCCTGCTCCCCCTGCTTGTGCTCTATCTAATAAAGTCTCAAATATATGCATATATATGTGTATGTATATATATATATGTACATATATATACATATAGATATAGTGTAAATAGTTACAAATCTAATCAAGGAACGGGCTGGACTTGAGAAAGCTACAGACCTCGTGTGAATCCAAAATGAGCACCCTTCATGCTTTGAAGAATACTGGGCATAGTATTTTTAAAAAGGAGGGGTATAATGGTAGGGGTAGTAAAACTTTGCCTGTCTGCAACTTAAGGAAACTCAGGTTCTACCAAAATCTCTGGCTCTAAGTTATCCCAGTTAGTTGGGGCAACATCTGCCTCCTTAGCCGATCACTTTGCATAGCTGGAATGATGACAGTCTTCAATGCTTCATATTTTTCTACTCCAGAAAAATAATATGGAACACGTGGGAGAATCAAAACCATCACAGAGGGGTGCCTGGGTGGCTCAGTGGATTGGGCCTCCACCTTTGGCTGGGGACGTGATCTCGTGGTCCTGCTTTCTGCTCAGCGGGGAGCCTGCTTCCCCCTCTCTGCCTGGCTCTCTGCCTACTTGTGATCTCTGTAAAATAAATAAAATCTTTTTAAAAAATCACAGAATTGGTTCTGCAATCAAAAGGAAATCTGGGGGGGGGCGCCTGGGTGGCTCAGTGGTTTAGGCCTCTGCTTTCGGCTCGGGTCATGGTCCCAGGGTCCTGAGATCGAGCCCCGCATGGGGCTCTCTGCTCAGCGGGGAGCCTGTTTCCCTTCCTCTCTCTATGCCTGCCTCTCTGCCTGCTTGTGATCTCTCTCTGTCAAATAAATGAATAAAAATCTTAAAAAAAAAAAAAGGAAATCTGGGCATGTTAGATATTTTCTGTGCTACAAATGTGTGAGAGAATTTGGCTTAAGAGACCCTCCTTTTAAGAAAAATTTAAAGTGTACTCAAGGGGTGCCTGGTTGACTCAGTAGGAAGAACTTGCTACTCTTGATCTCAGAGTCATGAGTTTGAGCCCCACAATGGGTGTGGAGATTACTAAAATAAATAAATAAATAACTTTTTAAAAATAAAAATGGGGCACCTGGGTGGCTCAGTTGGTTAAGCATCTGCCTTCGGCTCAGGTCATGATCCCAGGGTCCTGGGATCAGAGCCCCACATCGGGCTCCCTGCTCAGTGCTTAGTCTGCTTCTCCCTCTCCCTTCGGCCCTCCCCCAGCTTGTTCTCTCTCTCTCTCTCTCTCTCTATCAAATTAATAAATTAAAAAAAAAATAAAATAAAGCAGATAATTGAGTAACTGATATAAACCTCTGATTTTAAGTTGAAATCTCATGTAATTTAGGCTGAGTTTCAGAACATCTAAGAGAATTTAAAGTTTACTATATGTGTTAGAATTGTTCAGCTTTATAAAAATTAATACTTGACAGGTAATTGAAGTACCTATAAAAGAAATAATGTGTACATGTACTATTTTGGCCTTTTTTGCTGAAATATAGAAATGTTCTATAATACAGAATTTTTAAACTAAAAATTAAAAACCTTAATTTTTATTATTTTTTAAAGATTTTATTTATTTATTTAATTGACAGAGAGATACCAAGAGAGTCAACACAAGCAGGGGGAGTGGGAAAGGGAGAAGTAGGCTTCCCACCAAACAGGAAGCCAGATGTGGGGCTCGATCCCAGGACTCAGGGATCATGACCTGAGCCAAAGGCAGATGCTTAATGACTGAGTCACCCGGGTGCCCCCAAAAGTTTACTTTTTTAAAAGGCATAACAATAAAAGGGAACAAACTACTAATACTCACAACAATATGAATGAATCTCAAAATCTGTAGGCTGGGTAAAAAGAGGCAGACACAAGAGTACTTAGTATATGGTTCTATTTACATAAAATTCTAGGAAATCCAAATTAATATCTAGTAACAAAAGCAGATCAGTGGTTGCCTAGGGCTGTGGGAGCAGAGGGAGGGATGCAGCATCTCTTGGGAGTGATAGAAATATTCTGTATCTTGATTGTGTTGGTGGAGATTTCCGAGAAGTGTTAACTACCACCTGGTTTTTTAAAAGCTTAAGAACACGCCAAGGTTTTGAATTTGTTGTTTGAATAAATTAAACACTAACCTTTTAAACTGTTGGTCCGCAAACTTTTTCTAAAAAGAGTCACATAGTAAATATTTTAGACTTAGCAGGACATACTCATCTCTGTGCCAACTACATTGAAACTTGAATTTCATACAGTTTTCACATGTCACAAAGTATTCTCTGTTTCTTCCAACCTTTATAAAGGTAAAAACTATTCTTAACCCATGGGATATATACAAATCAGGAGTGGGTCAATTTGACCCATGGCCATAGTTTGCTGGATCCTTGCAAACTCTATCATAAAAGTGAAAGTAAACTTTCAACTAGTCTTTTCTCCATAGGAAAACCCACTCCAGAGTGCATGGAAAGAGCTCACTTTAACTGTTGTTATTATTATTGTTGTTACTGACTTTGGGTATTTCCAGGGTCTATGGCAGGGATTTCTTACAATCAACAAAAAATGGTTTTGAGAAAGAGCGAGCAAGAGAGAGCGCACACTTGAGCAGGGGGGAAGGGCGGAGGGAGAGGGAGGATGCAGGGCTCGATCTTAAGACCCCAAGATCATGACTTGAGCCGAAATCAAGAGTCAGATGCTTAACGGATTGCGTCACCAAGGCACTCCAAATAGCGAACTCTCAAACTAGTACATCTCCCCAAATGGCCTGAAAGGATTTTCAGCTTTTGTTGTCATAAGAATTCTTCCAGAAAATGACATATGCTTTATAATTCCATTGATAATGAAAGAAGTCAACAATAAACTTTCTTTTTTAAAATAATTTTTAAATAAGCAGAGTTAAATCTCCACTATTTAGGCTGCCTTTCTTTGATTAGAAAAGTGACATTTTAAGAACTTGTTTGGCCTCAGTCTCCATTTAAAAACTCCTTTATCTTGTTGACTTTTGTCTCTCTGGCCTGTGGTCGCATATCTTTTAAGTGTGAGGCAGGAGTGGCCTGTGTATCGCCTCTCCCTTCACTTCCCATCTATACCTCTCTTTTCACCACCTCTTGTCACAGCCCAAAGGAACAAAGTGTGGATTTTTTTTCCCCTTATAAATTTCCAGTTCGGGTGAAAGTATCTAAATTAAATTGGTTTCACCTTTCGCCCATCTGTGTAGGAATGCAAATAGAAGTATCTTTCCCATTTTAAGCATTCAATACATGCTTGATACAGAAAAAGTTTTAAGTGCAGGGACATAGGAAGAAAATGCAGAATAATCACCCATATTTCCAATGCCCAAGGACAAATACTATTTCAGAGTATTTCTACACAGGCCTTTTCTTTCTTTCCCTTCTGCTTTTCTGGTATCTTCGTTCATGGGTATATTTTTTCATCATAGTTGTGATTACTTTTCCTCCTAATGTAAGCATCTCTCTGTTTTATACAAATGCCATAAACATATATTAGATGTATAATATTTTTATCCAATGAATGGAATCACAATATACTTAACCGTTCCTATTTCTAGATATTTAGCAAACCTCCAATGTGTTATCTCATTGACTTTATCCATGAGGGGTTTTTAAAAATATTTTATTTATTTGTTTGACAGACAGAGATCACAAGTAGGCTGAGAGGCAGGCAGAGAGAAAGGAAGGGAAGCAGGCTCCCCACTGAGCAGAGAGCCCGATACAGGGATTGATTCCAGGACCCTGGATCATGACCTGAGCTGAAGGCAGAGGCTTTAACCCACTAAGCCCCCCAGGTACTCCTGACTTTATCCATGAGTTTTCCAAAACATGAATGGCCAGATGGGATTGTGAGTCCCAAGACTGCAAATGGTAGATTATCCACCAGTGGCCAAGAGGGGATGGGTTGGTTTGGTGTTTTTGTTTGTTTTAAGGTGTATTTATTTTAGACAGAGAGAGAAAGAGAGCACCCATGAGTGGAGGAGGGGCAGAGAGAGAGGGAGAATGTCAAGCAGACTCTGCGAAGCAGGGCTCAGCACAGGGCTCAATCTCACGACCCTGAGACCATGACCTGAGCTGAAATCAAGGGCCACAGGCTGAACCAACTGAACCACCCAGGAGCTCCTCAAGAGGGGTGTTCATGATGACGCCCGCTGCTGGGGCATGAGGAGTGGGGTGGCAAAATGGCAGCGAACATGAGGACACTTTCTAGAAAGACAAATATAACTTCAAATAATAAAGAGAAAGCTCCACAAAACACTTATTCCACAAAGTCACAATACTACTTGCCAACAGTACATATAGACTCACTAGCAAATAATTCCTGCCTGAAGAGTAAGTGTGAAGATAATCTATAAATGAACAAGGGACACTAGTGACACTGGGGAGGTGGGGG